CAAATGCGCTGCATATGCCGATATACATAATGCGACCGAGAAAACCAATCGAGGCGGTCAGCAGCTAGCGCTACCACCAATTGGCGTGACGTACATTCAGCAGAGCAGCGGATATGCAGCCAAATCTATCGAGAACCCGGCTACTCCAGAGGGCTTTGAACTTGTTTTTGGTCCAATCAATGGAGCCAATAATGCACCTGGGGTTCGTAATATATCGCCATGTCCGTTTTGTGTTTCTGATGCTTTTTACAGTTTATGGGCTTTGCTTTCCTGGACAGATACGATGTTCAGGCATGTACGGATCTTTGCAGGAGTCGAGGTGCTGACCCGAATGGTGGTGGATGTCAAGTAGGTTTGCGTCATGTCTCTGGGCGGTCTAGACTGACCGCTCATCTAGTTTGTTAACATATGGAGAGCGCTGGTGGATGGGATACCGACCACATATACCTGCTCTTTTGTACGTCTCATCCCCTTCGTTTATCTCTGTTCTGATTGATTCTCAGTACTATATCCCAGCAGACCAATCGAGCGCTGTAAACACCGGGCAAGGTGATTTGCAGGTGACATTTTCTCGGGGCTATCGTCGTATTTCTGTCCTTCCAGATGGCGGATTCGAGAGCTTCAACAGCTGCGGGGACAACGAAATCTGCTTCACCGAATCAGACGCCAATTGGATCGGTAAATCCGATGTTGGAGGGCATCTCGATGCTTTGATCTTCGACTTTCAGCCTTATGCGCATTCGGGACATTCGGTCGCGACCCTCGGGTCTGGAGATGGGTCGGATGCCCATTCGGGTAACTTTACTGCTGCTCACCAGTTAAAAACGATCCCTGGTCGAGATTATGTTGTGCAATTGTTCCATGGGAGCTTTTTGACCGATTCCAAAGAGCAAGGGTCGTTCGTCACGATTAGGTGGAATGGGCAGACCATTGGCGCGATTCTCGCCGGAAATAGTCCCTGGACCTTTTACCAGTTTCCGGTGAAGGCCAAAGGAAAAGATATGTTCTCCTTCAGGGGAGGGTCTTTCCCAGCGTATGACTTTCTGGATGATATTTTTATTTTCTTGGCTTGAGGACGCTTTTTGGACACCTTTGGACAATTATTTTAGTTGTAGAAGTGAACTAGGAGCAAATCATTACTAAATTGTTTTGGACTTGAGGAAACAAACTTGACAATGCACGTGATGTTGCCTTTCTGGCTGCTCCGCAGTCAAGTCCTCGTCGCGCATCTAAATCCGAGGCTAAAACGATACAGAAACGCTCTCATCCTGATTCCTAGCTCATCCTTGACTCATTCTAGCATAGTCGCTTAGAGCTGACCCCTCCGAATATGGAACCCATGATGCAAGACATCGGAAGCCGAGCTCAGGAACATCCTGGAACATCAAGCAGACTGGCCATGTGGACTGGATATCTCATGCTAGAGCCTTAGTTTAGATGCCCATTCTTGCTGCTCGACCTCTCAGACGCACAACTAGTCCAAGTTCAAGGCTTCAAAAATTCTTCGAGATCCAGCCTTGGAACCAGGAACCAGTACCTCAAATTCACAGCACAACTGTTACAGTACACCCAGCCGCGTCCAAAAATGATAACGTATACCAAGCATTCGTTTAGATGCTACAATGTCCCTAGACGATCTCGGTATCCATGGCAGATATTGGATTTCAAAATCCATCAAGACGCCGCATGGTCCGCCGAAACCTATAAGATGTTTCACTGGGATTTGAGCGCCCATTCTTCTTCTCTGTCTCTATCCACTCCTTACAAATGGCCTTCACACTCGCTCGTTCACTCGCCACCGCGTCGCTCCTTCTTGCTGGGGCACAATTAGCTCAAGCGAAATGTCAGAAGTATGTCGACGCTGCTTCAGTTGCAGCAGCCAATCTCCAATCCACATATTTTGCCAATGGAGGCTACATCAACGGCCAGCAGCCTTGGATCGGTGCGGTCGACGCGTACTATCTCATGCAGAGTGAGTTTACCTCATTCCTTCCATCCTTTGACCTCGTCACTAATGATCTCATTCGTTTCCTCCCTTTTCCTTCTTCACTCAATCTCTGATGGAAAAATCACAACACTGTTCAGTTGACGGTTTGGCCGGAACTAATAATTATGGCGGGGTCATCAACACCGTCTTCAATGACTGGTTCGGACAACTCGATAATGGACAGTCTTACGACGATGTCCAATGGGTCGCATTGGCGTATCTTCGCGCAGGCCAGTTCGATAATGCGAAAAAGTACTACAATTTCGCATCCGTTGCTGTCGACGCTTCCTTCTGCGGAGGAGGACGTGAGTAATATTTCGTTAACTGGTCGTCAACGGGCGTTGACATTTTCGTTAGTTTACTGGAGTGGCGCTCGTAATTACAAGAATGCCATCGTACGTCTAGTCGACATCGATGTCCGGTCCTTCTGACGCTTCCTAGACCAATGAACTTTACATGGCCCTTTCTGGTTACATGTACGATACCCTTGGCGACGCGACATACCTCTCCAACCTTCAATCAAGTTTGTCCTTATCTTTCGTTGACGATAATCTTCACCTAACCGATATCCTCAGCTTGGAACTGGCTCAAATCGACGCCTATGCGAGGCAGCAATGGCTGTCAGTGACCTTGAATTACTTTTACGACATGTTCTGATAGTGCTTCAGTGTTCAATGATGGTCTCAACTCGGCTTGTGGCAATAATGGCCAAACACAATGGTTCGTCGATTTTCTACTGAACCTTTCCCGAGTTAGCTAACGAGCATAACAGGACTTACAACCAGGGTGTCATTCTAGTCGGTCTTGCCTACCTTTACAAGCGTAAGTCTTCTGAAAAGAGGTCGACGAATGAAAATTTACAGTTCTGCAGACACCGGAGACGAGACGGCCGTCACTTCTGCTTTCTCCATCATGGACTCTGTCATCGCCAGCCTCACCGTCAACGGCGGTCTTCGTGAAGGCTGTGAATCCACGACCCAGAACCTTTGCAATGCCGACCAACAGACCTTCAAGGGAATTCTCGCATACTATATGTAAGGTTCGCGCGTCTTGTCTGTTACATCGACTGACCTTTTTTTCGAATAGGGCTTGGTTCCTCCAGATCACAAACCGCGACAACAACTCGAAATACAGCAACTTCCTCAAGGCTCAGGGAGACAAAGTGCTCCAGAATGCCGTTGGACCTAGCGGGTTCTACAGCAACTTGTGGTTCGATCACAATGCTGGAGGAGCTGCTTGGACTGCCTCGAGTCAGGCTTCTGCCCTCGGTGCTCTTATTGCTGCCGGTCAACAGAACTGCTGATGACTCGAACAATCTTTTCATGATGTACCAAGTTTAAATAATATATCTATTCATTCGCTGTGAGGACTGGAAAATCGAACAAGGTCTATCTACATGGCGGGTACTTCGATCTTGAACCCTTTCGCGATCCATTCCTGTTCCAGGGCCAGAATGTCATCGACAGTATCCAGAACAGTATCCTCAAAGCTCGTAAAATCGCTCCTGGTGAAGCCCAAAACCTCCTCGAGTCGGTGGACGTCGAAAGGAATGCCCTCGGCTTCTTTCTCAGGCAATGGCGCCTTGGTGAGCCTTTGAGCGAGCTCCGGTCTCTTCTCTCTGACAATTTCGAGGAAACGGGCATAGTTGAAGCCGTAGAGCGAGGAGATTATGAGCCGCTTCTTCCCCACGTCCCGCGAAGACTTGAGCGCCAGGACATGGGCCTTGGCGGTATCACGCACGTCGACATGATTGGGACCTGGTGGGAGCTGACCTGTAGACGTCAAGAGACGATAGATATACAGGTTGGTTGAAATCGCGGTGTAGTTGGGCGTAGGGACTTTGAAACCGCGGGCAAATGGCCCATATATCCAGGTTGGGTTCACTGTCATTGGAATCAGTTTCGCGAACAAATTATGCATGAAAGAAGGTACTTACAGACAGTGAAGTCGACGTGGGGATGGGCCTCGGCAAAGTCCCAGACTGCTTGCTCCGCAAAGAGCTTTGAGGCGCGATATCCTGTGAGACCTTTCTCCTTCTTGGCTTGTTCTCGGGTAACACTTGTCCAATCTGAATTCCAATTAGCGCAGCGGCAGGAAGACATTCCGAACAACAAACCTGTATCTTTGTATGAACCACGGGCATTCATGACTGTCGCAATAGAGCTGGTGACGACGATCTTGCGAATACCAGCTTTCTCGGCTTGACGAATGATATTCAACGTGCCTTCCACAGCGGTTTTCAGCATTTCTTCCGTATCATTCGTTTGAAGCAGCGGTGAAGCTACATGAATGACTGCATGAACACCTTCCAGGGCTGAAGGGAACTGGTCCGACGCGATGTCGGATATGACGACGATTTCTAGCTCGTCAGCACTGTAGCTGGCCCTGAGGTATTCAACTTTGGATGCACGGACAGCCCTGTACAAAGTCAGTCCGAAGACCGCTAGTAAACAAGAAACAAGCTCACGCTCTAACGCGATAACCATTCTCCACTAGCTGTTGAACAACATGGCTTCCGAGGAATCCTGAGGCACCAGTCACCTTTCTCAAAAGTCAGTACGTTAACAAAGATAGTAGCTTGGACGTACAAATATGAGGTCAGAGGTAGACATTGTTGAAAAGTATTCGAGTTTTTCTGAGGTTTCCTTGAACAGAATAGCTGCATATTTATACAGCAGAAGGTTTCGGGCCAAGCGCAGGCCTCGTCATTGTGCCTGCTGTGCTGAGTCAATATTTGGATGACAAGTTCGGTCGGTCGGTGGTGACCAATTATAGAAATGATTCAGCGTCGGCTATTGGTCCAGACCATGCCCGGTAGATACGGCACAAACTTGAAGAAAAATAAGGTCAAGGGGGCGTCAAAGGGAGATAGCAGATCGGTTGCTTTGTGCAAGCAGCCCGATAGATGCGGTCCAAAGAAAAAGAAGGCAAAGAGGGCGTCAAAGGGAGATAGCAAATCGGTTGCTTCGTGCAAGCAGTCTCGTCAAAAAGCACAAAAAAAGCACAAAAAAAGTTCCGACACGGGGAATCGAACCCCGAGCTGCCGCGAAACAGATATAGCTTAAGCCCTCGTGAGAGGCGGCAATGTTAACCATTACACCATATCGGATTGGGAGGTGGCAATGGTTCAACATTGAGTGCACGTCCAGGCCGGACGCCGACACCGAAAAACAATGGAAGACAATCCACATGGGCGGGGCGCGTCGGAAAGGAATGACCATCATCGTCTGGTGGTTGCATCGGCTGAGATTTGCATATTCGGGGTGATGGACGAGGGCCGAGGTGCTGAATAATAGTTCGTCTAATGCACTGCGAGGGAAATTATCAGCACGAGAAATGAAACAAGTCGTTGTCTACGCACCTCTTGGTCTATCTCCGATGCCCCAATACTGTTATCGTTTATCTTGGTTTGTTAAACCTCTCTCCTCTGGTTGCAAGACGTCCTCTTCAGTTCCCAAACCGACTTCCTTCCCAACTGAGCAGAGCAGGGCAGTGGATCCGACAGGCAGGTACTTCCTGCCGCCATTGCTGGTATTCTGGACAATTCTCAGCATCTCTCGACTTTTCGGGATGATGTTCCCACAGTTTCCTTTCGGTATCCTTGAATACGGGCGATAACGAGACGATTTCGGTTTCATGGCCTCGGTTCAACGCATATTGAACAGTTCGCGTCGTTTCAGGGCCATCTACGGGAACTATGAGCACCAAAAGATATGGGAAAAAATGTCTGTACGCACCGGAGTCACCGAGTGAAACCTTGAGACCCAATTTGCTTGGGTAAATGTCTTCGCCATATTTTTTTCGACCTTGGATAAAGTCTAAGGTTCAGCAGAGTCAATTTCCAGGTGTAATGGTAAAGAAAGAGATAGCTTGCATAATTCTCTGCTGGAGCATCCAAACGGACAGCAGAAAGGTCATCCAGCATCAAGCCACATATCTTCGCGCTCTCGTTAGGACGCTGTGAATGGAGATGAGCTCTGGCCTTATGAGGTTTATAATCTGGATTACCGATCAATTGCCAAAGGGCTGCTGCCGTTTTTTTTCGACGCCTTGAAATGGTCTCTTGACCGAGGACCTTGTATTACACCTCTCTGTGGGCTCAAGGTCGCAATCCTAGCCGTAAACGACTGAGATGCCCAGAGGCGAGCTGTGAACTGCTGGACAGGGCTGTTGCAAGATTTGGTGCGCCAGAGGTTGCCAAAATTTGCATTGCTTGCGTATACGCCGATACGGTCTTCGAGAGAGATGGAAATTCCTGGAAATCGATTGATTCCCAGAGTAACAGGAAGGTTACTGTAATGGCTGTCATCGAGTCGCTGGTCAAATTGCTTTGTCGCCGTGGTCACTTTCACGTGGAGTTGTGACGCGTGATGCAGGTAAACTTGGCACCTCTTGCACTCTTGCACCGTCATCCTTCACGTCCACGTCCAGTCTACGGTGAATTTCCGCGTCCCGAAAGCTCTCAATTCGAACGTCAAACGAAGGCCGGGATAAAGGAGGAATACTTGGGTGGCTGAGCAGCCCCGTGCACCATCAATGGACATGGATCATAATGGCTGGGGAGATTTCGCAGAATCTTTTCTTTCCCTTGTGCGTATATATCCGACCTTCCTCGCGAACGACATGCTCATCTTTTCACAGGACGCCTTGTTGAAGAACCTGTCCTTACCCATCCATCAAACCGTATTCAATCTTTCCGAGGCTGAGGCTTTGCTCGTCGAATCTCCGGAACATTTGCTCGTCGAATTCACCGTCCTCCTGTTCTTCTCGACGAGGTCTGGTAGAAATTGCGGATCGGGGGTAGAATGTAATGATGTTATTTATCCTCGGCTTCAGCTGGCGACGTTTACGAAAAAGCTGAGGAATGCTTGCTCGGCCGAATCAGTGCGTTGCCTTGTGACTTTATTTCTTTTTCTTGCGATGACCGAACACTGTTTTTTTCAATTCCGTAGTCGTCGCTTTGACAACCTGAATCACGGGTGTTCGATTCACGGTCAGGGTGAAGCGCTTTCTCGCGACTATAACGCGTGGATAAGTCCCGAGCTCGTGTCGAAAACCTCATTTCGCGAGGCACCGCTAGCAGGACACGCAAGTTCGTTTTCTACTCCTGCAACGACTTTTCCTCATTTTTTACTGACATACTGCGTTCTTCAGGCACAAATCACGAAACATGGCTGACATTATTCCCGGTTGCGAGGTTGAAAAAGCGTCGCCATGCGGTTTACTCCGAGAACATTGCATCATCCAGGGAGCGCCCTCGTGCAAAACGTAAGGTTCATGGGAAATTGTTGAACATTTTCAAATCATTTGAAATTGTTTAAAACTGGGTCAAGGGCGACGGGAGTGACCCTTGACGCCCTCTCATCCCAGAAATCGCGCTCATCCAGTTCTGCACTCTGAAAATGCTCGCGTCATCCAGCATTATCGTACTTGTCGCTGCTTGGGCTGTCGTGGCGAGCCCGTACCAAAACGCGCCTGTAAAGCGTGTCAAAGGCTCCGAGAACAGTACTGTCTCCTTTGTCAAAAGGGATACCTTTGTGAACAAGGAGATGACTTGGTATCCGACCGACACTGGCGCGTAAGTCGGGTTTATTTCTCTTGGCTCCCTTTACTGATCTGTCGCTTCAGTGACGCGTGTACTGGCAAAAACCATCAAGACAGCGACTGGGTGAGCCACTTGTTTCTGTCTATCATGGTTGTGCTCATCATTGACCTATAGTATGTCGCCATGGGCTCTGCTGTTAGTAAAAATCACCTTTGCATCTGCTGGTTGATTCTCATCTTGTTGACAGCAATACGGTGATGGGTCCGCCTGTTGTGGCAAACAACTCCGGATAACATACAACGGAAAGTCGACTGTCGCGACTTGCGTCGACGAGGTTCGTCTCTTTCCTCCCATCGCCAAACTCTTGCCAACTCCTTCTCCTTTCACAGTGCACGAGTTGCCCTCAATGGGGCCAGATCGACCTGACCAAAGGTCTCTTTGAGTTTTTCACCAATGGAGACCTGGGTATCGGTACCATTTATGGGTCGTGGTCATATGTCGGTAGTGGCGACGATGAGGATGATGAGCCTGCACCGACGACGACCAAAAAGCCAGCGACGACGACGACGACGACGACGCATAAAACGACGCCGACCACTACTCCGAAAGCTGATCCGACAACAACAATAGAGACCACCATTGCAGTCGAAGATACCACCAGCGTAGCTGCTTCATTCACAGCGCAACCGACATCTTCTGCTGAGCCAGTTCAGTCATCGTCTTCCGTTTCATCTTCCGTCGAAGCGTCTTCCTCGACCTCGGCGGCTGTTTCGACCCAAGCCGTCGTGAACCCTGGTTCTGGGAGCAATGGGACAGACCAAATTTCCGGTGGTATTACGACTGGCGACTCTAATGGTGCCGCATCCATCAGCGTCAGCAGACTTGTCGCAAGTCTCGCGGCAGCTCTGCTTGTTGTTCGCGCTCTCTAGTTGCTGTTCATCTTTTCGCCGACTTGTCCTTGTAATCTCTCACATTGTTATCTGGTAAATCTGTAGACCTCTTCACTGTCGCCATTAGAATTAGAAATCTTGTAGCATGGTTGCGCAAAATAGAGAAACTTTGCGCTCGATCAAAAATTGGGGCTGTGCTCATTCAGCGTGCTTTTGACCGCCAATTTGAATTTCGACGCCAATAGCGGGTAGACGTAACCTATCCGTGCAATTCCTATCCTTGTCCTTCTTCAGAACCTTCTCCTCCATCCGAAACTGGGACAAAGAAAATAGGACAACGAAAATAAGCTTCCAACTTTTCCTTCAATCTGTGCGTTGAACCCACCGTTTGTTTGTCCTGACCGTTAAATCTTCAAGGTAGTAGGATGCCCCAGTGCGACTGTCAATGCCCTCGTTGTGGCTATACCTCGCAGGAAATCCCTCGCTGGTTCGCGATGAGATATTTGGCCTCGACGACCTCATCACCTCCAACAATCCCCTACATGCTTCCGACGAAGCTTCATTACGCGGCAAGCGATCCAATCGCATCGAATTCCTTTAGAAACAGACGAAGGAGGTACGACTGCAGGGTGCTGAGGTTTTGGACTTGGTAGAATTTATCTCCTACAGAATCCCACCTCTGTGCAATAGCAACCTGCCGAACTCCGAGGTCACCTTGTCTCCGTCAACCAAATCGATGTTTCTGGTCAATTGAGTCCGCGTGGCGGGGATTGGTCGAGACCATCCGAGTTTTCAAGCTGGGCTGAAAGAGAACCATATACAGAACTGAAGCATTGGCTCTAGTGGTCTAGTGAGAGACTTTGGAACGCATGGAAGACAAGGTGAGTCCAAGGGTTATTATTCTGTCCGACCGACAACCAGTCTTACCATGATTTACAGAACGTCTGCTGCGGTTTCCAATATTCACGTCCCCAGTCAGCCTGACTATCTGTCCGTCCATTCATGTCCAATACGAGTTACCGCTCCGAAACCATTTTCGTCGCAGCCTATCTCGTCAAGCTGGTCACCTCCAGCGTCAATAAACCCGAGGGTGACAGACCCTTTGGCAGCCTGCCGCTGCATTTAGGAATGAGAATCCGTCGAGGATGAGCTGTTTCGCTGGTGAGCACCTTATGAGCACCCTTTCGCACCCAAAATGTGTTCTCATTTCTCAGCGGTTAGCATATACTACCCCCGTAAAGGCAATGGATAGATGAGGTAGAAATCGAGGCAAGGTTGTTGGAAAGGATTATAGATGTTATTTCAACACCATGTTGCTCTGGTCAATCCACAACTCTGGCCGAGCTTGCATTCGAGGCGACATTAGCTGATAAATCATCACAGGCCCTCTCGCATTCGACATTCTACCGCCAATTTTCTTTCCTGGACGCTCGAGTGTCTGCCAAAGAATGTAAACCTCGTCCGTGTCGTTCGTTGGATCCATTCTTCCATCTCTCGACCTCAGCTCGACCTCTGAAATCATCATTCGTATTCAATTACTTCCCTCTGCCCGATAAACCGACAAAATCCAACCAGGACTGGCAGATCCTTGCAGCCACCGCAGCCTGGGCCCATATCTAGAATTCATCGACCTTCCCACTTGCCTTTCCAATCCAATGATGAGCTTTTCCCGGA